AAGGATCATCTGGAACTGGAGTTTCAAACAGTTGAATTGTGAAAAGTCATTGTGGATGTTGAGACTTGAACCTGGCCTTCTGGAAGAACAGCAAATTCTCTTAACCAATGATTTGTCCCTCCAGCCCACAGTGACTTACCTTGACAGACTCAGTACAATCCTTTGAAGTGCCAACATGATGCCACACTGAGATGTTCCACGTTTGAACAAAAAAAAGCATCAGAGCATTGGAAATATATAGCATTGCTTCTTGGTTTTGTGAGCTCAAGTTTAAAGGATATAACAAGTGTGTGTGTGTGTGTGTGTGTGTGTGTGTGTGTGTGTTTTGTTTTGCTTTGCTTTGCTTTGAGAGACAGGGTTTCTCTGTGTAACAGCTCTGGCTGTCCAAGAACTCACTCTGTAGACCAAGCTGGCCTCAAACTCAGATCTGCCTCTGCCTCTGCCTCTGCCTCCCAAGTGCTGGAATTATAGGTGTGTGCCACCACCATCCAGTTCTGATTGTGTGTGCATAAGGCACATAAGAAAAAAATAAATGTGTTTGGGCTTGAGTTCCTTTCCCAGGACGTCTCCTTGTGCAGCATTTTCTGTTCCTCTGATCCCTTTGTTCCTCTGGGAAGGAGACTGAGCCCCATTCTCCAAGGGAAGAAACAAAGACCAGAAAGTGCCTTTCAAAAGTTTCCCAGCAAGTTACAAGCTTCATGCCTTGTCTGGCTCTCATCTCAGATGAGCAAAAACTGATGTTTCTTGCTGTTTCCTGTGGGTCAGGCCTTTGTAATAGCCACTAAACCTCAGTCTTACCAATACAAGGTCAGTGCTTACTGTTTCATGCACAGTGTCTTGATGAACCCTCCAGGTGTAACAGTTTGCATTCTTTGTCTCACATACAGATGGTACAGATAGGGAATCTGAAAGCCAAATAGCTTGCTACCCAGTGACTGTGCTGACTTCTTCATTCATTCATTTTTTTCTATTTTTAAAGGAAATATGACAGTTTATTATGGAACCTTTATGAGTGACCGTGGTCCTGAAACATGGGTTTAGGTTACCTCAAATACCACGGTGCAATGTGGAAGCAGTTTCTCGGGGATTTTATACTGTTGGGGAACAAAGAAAGTCACAAATCGAGGCAAGTTTAAAACACGTTACTGGGTACACCAGACAGGCAGATACATTGAAATGCAGGAAACTGCTGTCTGATGACATTCTTAGCTCTCCCCAGTACTGGATTCCAACCTCTTTGTTAGTCTCTGCAGGCAGACTCTTTCCAAGAGGCTTTGTTGGTTTGTTTTGAATTTTATTCATCTATTTATTTTACATCCCAGCACAGCCTCCCCTCCCAGTCCCTTCCCCCCCTTCCATCTCCAATCCCCTCCTCTTCTGTCTCTATCCAGGAAAGGGCAGGTCTCCTATGATATCTAAAACATGGCATATCAAGTGCAGTAAGACTAAGCACCTCCCCATGTATTAAGACTGGGCAAGACAACCCAGTATGAAGACTAGGGTCCCAAAAGCCAGCAAAAGGGTCAGAGGCAGCCCCTGTTCCTGCCGTTAGGAGTCCCATAAGAGGACCAAGCTACACAACTGTAACATACATGCAGAGTGCCTAGGTCAGTCCCATGCAGACTCCCTGGTCGTCAGTTCAGTCTCTGTGAGCCCCTAAAAACCCGGGTTAGTTGATTGTGTGAGCCTTCCTGTAGTGTCCTTGCCCTCTCGACTCCTATACTCCTTTCTCTTCCTCTGTAGGATTCCTTAACTCTGCCTAATATTTGGCTGTGAATCTCTGCATCTGCCTCCATCAGTTGCCTCTCTGATGACAACTAGGCCAGGCACCAATCTGGTCACAGGAGATGCCAATTCAGGCTACTTATCTGCTATTGCTATGAGACTAAGCTGGAGTCCTCCTTTGAAACACTCACTGTATATCTTTGGCTGTCCTGGCACTCACTATATGCCTAAACATGTTGTCATGGAACCAACAACCTTGGAAGGCAAGAGGTAGAGTCTTCATTTTTCCCTGTAAAAGGCCATTGGAAAGTTAGGTCTAGGAATGCAGATCTGTTTGGTGCAAGAGGGCAGGCAAGAGAGAGCTGGACAATGAAGCCCCTTGCTCGGTTTGTGAGTGGACTGTTAGGTTTCTCTTGGACGACTCTCAATGGTAGAGTGTGTTTAGCATGCTCAAGGCCCTGGGAGAAAAAAAATTATCTTATTTAGGCACAGTGACACATGCCTACAACTCCAAAACTTGGGAGGATGAAAAAGAAGGATGGAAAGTTCCAGGCCAGCCTGGGCTATTATGGAAAAAGTCTATTTTTTTAAAGTGTGTATGATGAGGGAGGGGCAGGAGAACCTGGGATAATGGTACATGCTTTTAATCTCAACACTCAAAAAGTAGAGGGTAATCACTGTGAGTTTTAGGCCAACTTGGTCTACACAGCAAGCTCCAGGCCAGTCAGGGCTTTACAGTGAGCTGTCTGAAAAGAGGGTGGAAGCTGGGGAGATGGCTCAGTGGTTCAGGCAGCTTTCTGATCTTTCAGAGGACATCCATTCAGCTTCCAGAACCTATGTTAGTACAATTAATCGACTGTAACTCCGGTTCCAGGGGATCAAACATCTTCAGTTTCTGTTAATACCCACAAGCTGTACACAAACCCCAACACAGAAACACACATATACGCACAATTGAAAATAAAACAGATGTTTAAAGACAAAAAGCAAAGCAAAGCCCCCAGATGGAGTGTGGGCTGGCACAGCCGCATCCGCCTTCCTGCTGGAGGGAATGAGAGCTGTGCGAAATCAGGGGCTCTCCACATGGGACAGAAGAAGCCTCCAGGGAAGGGCAACTCCGGGCCCCCCCTACCTTCCCCACAGGCCATCTTGGTGGCACCATGGGGCTAGTTCTCAGCTTTGGCACTGACATCACAAAACCTAGGGATTCCCCAGTACAGCATAAGTTGGAAACACAGGAGCTGAGTTCCAGTCTCCGTTCTGCTACTGCCCTCCATGTGCCTCCGGTAAGACTTTCCTTCCTGTGGCTCTGCTGAAGTCAGTAAATGCTGCCCCCAAGTTCAGGGTTCCCCCAGGCTCTGGAGAACCCACAGGGTGTGGGAAAGAACTAGAAACTTGACAGATAGTCCTTTCACTCTTGCTCTAGGTTTTAATTTCTCTATGTAATATCAGTGGTTGACTTTGAAACTAGCTGTCGAGTCTCAATGAGGAAACTGAGGTCCAAGATTGGCAAGTCACACAGTAGAAGCCACACCCCTGGCTTCCTAGTTTCCACTTCTCACCTCTTACCACATCCCTTCCATTTCCTGCTAAGCACTTGGGACACTGAAGCAGGAGAGTTCAAATTTGAGGCCACCCTGGGCTACATAATGAGACCATGTCTTTTTTTAAAGTTTTTAGTATTTTTTTAAAGACAGCATCTTTCTTTTGTAGCCTTGACTGTCCTTGCATACTAGGTCGACTTCATAGAGATCTGCCTGCCTCTGTTCCCTAGTCAAGGCACAAAAATAAAACATGGAGGGCTGGCAAGATGGCTAAGTGAGTATAGCTTTGCCATATAAGCCTGAGGATCTAGAATGGATCCCTAAAGCCTGATTAAGGGTGGAAAAAGATAACTGACTCCACAGTTTTCTTCTGACTTCCACATGTGTCCTTTGACACACATGCCCTACACACACACAAATAACAAAAAATTAATAATGATAATTAGTAGCAATACAAAAGCAGGGAATTGATAGAAAGTGCCCGTGGATGGTTTTGGTTGGGTTTCAAGGAGCATTGTGTAACTCCCTCCTGAGGGAGAATTTTACTCACTGCGTGGGTCATGTGAGAAGGTGAGGCAGGGTAGCGGGGGCCTGTCAGAGAGTGAAGTCTTCGGATATCCCAGGAAGGGAAGGAGGAGCGGCAAGTACAAAGGCCCTGAGGACCTGATGCTCTGAGAGCCTCGAGGGGGCTAGCGTGGCGGAAGCACGCACGTGGGGCACAGTGACCAAGATACAACGACTGCGAAGAGCCTTCTGAGATGAGATTTGTGTCGGGAAGGGATGAACCATGGCCCCAGGAAAACCAGAAGGGGATAGGTCCAGGGCTCTGGTACACTGACAGGTGGAGCCACTTGAGCAACACTGCACTCCAGTTGCTAGAGCTGGTACACAGTGAGGATGCCTCCGGCTGGCGGGGGGTGATGAAGGCCAGAGGGACTGGTAGGGAAGGTCAGGGGTCCAGAAGGCTGTAATCAGGCAGGTGGTTTATTCATGAGGGAGACAGACGGTGGAAGGACTGAGGACTGTGTGCTCCGTGGTGTGGAGTGGGGTGCTGTGCAGAAGACCAGGCCAACCTCTGTCCTTATCATCCTCCCCCACACATCAGACGTGGGTGGAGGAGCTGCTGCTCCTGGGGGCACAACAGCAGAAACCTGACTGGAGGGTGCTCTGGTCCAGCTTCCCTTTCCTTCCCTGCAGCTCTCTAAAAGCTTCCAGGACTTGGTATCTCCCTGGCACTTTGTCCCAGGCGTCCTTGACTGGGCAGTGCTCAGGCAGGGCTGAGAAGGTAGGCTACCCAAAGGGGAAGCCCCTTTGGTTTCTGTCTCACAGCAGGAACCCAGTAGGGAAACCCCACAAGTCCCAAAAGGAAAGTGGGAGTTTGGGGAAGACCAAGAAACCCCCATGCTCTCTCAGAAGATGGGAAATCAAGGGTGTGGCTCAGAGCAGGTTTGTGCTAGAAGGGACACCGTGGTCAGGCTCCGTCCCTGACCGTGATCCTCATGGTGCTGAAACACTGGGACTACTATGAGTGGTGGCTGAGGCTTGAATCACTTACAACCCAAGCTGGCCACAGGCTGATCCTCAGTTCTGGTCATTGGTTGAGGTCTTATCCTAGCCTAAGTTTTCACCTCACCTGAGTCACAGCCTCAGTCAGAGACTGCACAGCTCTGTCACCGATGAGGCCCTAAGTCTAACACTGACCAGCCACAAGCAGTTGGTTCACTGGTAACTCTGGTGCCAAAAACAGGCAGAGCACACACACTGGCCCTAGGCGAGGTGCTGAGTTCAGCCCTAGACCAAGTTCTGACCCTTGATATGGACTGAGCCCTAATCCTATGTAACTCTGGCTATAGACTGAGCCATTGTCTGAATAAAGCTGATCATGATACTATGGCCTCAAGATGGGTCTCCTCCAGCCCTGACACTTGGTTACAGAGACCTGAATGCCAGCTCTCAGTGCATCAAACTAGTCCCTGCCAGCCCCATACAGACTCATTCCTCACTATGGAGCTATGACTTCCCGCACACTCTTCAGCCATCTGGTAAACCAAATGAGGGTATGGATGAGTCAACCCCACCAAGTCCCCTCTTATGGGTAATTCCCTTACCTGGCCATCTGTCATTCACGGGACAATGGACTGGCAGTGGCCCTTGGATGCTAGTGACATAGAGAACTATGAGGAGGTTGGGTCTTTTGGGCCCCACCAGTGAACAGAAGTATGTGAGTGGACAGAGCCCCGGTGGTGGGGCGTTGAGGGAAGAATCAGACCTGGGAGCCCAATGGTGGGTCTGGAGCTCAGATGGGCTGAAACCCTAGCTTCCCGCCACCCCCATGCTTCCCCCTCTGGGAAGGGAAATTACATTTCCCCATTTTAGAAGGGAAGACTTAGTGAGCACAAAGCTGAAAGTACAAGCAGGACAGAAAGTGAAACTGGGCGCAGCCCCCAGTATAAGACCCCCCTACCCAGGAGATGGCTGCACACAGAGGCTGGGCCCTGACATGGGCCAGGCGACAGGAGGCCTTGGCTGGCGTGAGTTGGAAGATGGGACTGGGAGATGGGTGGGAGGTTTGGCGGAGCCTGGGATAGTTTAACAAGCAGGGCTGGGGTAGATGACTGAGGGACAACACGTGGGCCAAGCTAATGGGCATAGCTGACCGACCATGGCAGTGTGACTTGTGTAAGTGAGCAGGGGCTGGAGCAGAGGAATTCCAGTTTTACCCAGGCTGGGTGAGTTATGGGACAGCTTGGCTGGGATGTGTAAGGAGGGCTGGTTAAGCAATCTGGCCAGGAGCAGGACAATGTAGACAAATGAAGATGAACTGAGAACTGAGGACAGTCAGAGGAACAGCATGGCAGCGGGGGTTGGGGGGTGCTGGTGACGGGGACCAAGGGGGTAGCCCCTCTGAAGCTTAGAAGGTTGTCCAGTCTGCAGCTGGTAACTGAGGAGCTAGGAAAAGAACTGTAGGGAGAGGGACAAGTGGCAGGACTGGGTAGGACCAAGAGTTGGAGGGTGAGGGCAAGATTCACTACAAAAGGGGTCTTGGGGTATCCAGAACTTGGAGAGGTGGTAGGTGGGTATGAGTTAGCTTCCTCTGGGATATAATATTTACCAGGGTCCAAGGGTACGTGCTCTGTTCCCATCCTAGAGCTAGGAAGAATTCTGTTTTACTTTACTCTCTAGGGTGCTAGAGAGTCAGAGTGGTTCCTAAGCCAAAGATCTCAGGCACTGCCTACTTCTGAAAGTCCATTAACCTTTACCAAGGGCACTTAGAGGCAGGTTAGAGATTCTGAATGGTCAGAGAAGGAACTTGGAGAGGGGCATGAGTGGGGTGGATTTGGGGATGGTTTGGATTTGGGTTTAGAGAGGAATTGTTTAACTCCCGGTTGAGAGAGAAACTTCTGAAGACTGTCCTCTTCTCAGAGTCCTCACTTCACAGCCCTGCTCCCCTCTTGGGAGCCTAGGACACAGAGATAAGGAGTGACCTGCTCAAGGGAGGACTAGGAAGCTAGACTACCCCACCCATGTCCCTTCCAGTACAATGCTGCAGGCTGATTTACCCCCAGAAAGGCTCCTGTGCAACGTGGCCTTACCATCTTCCATCCGAGTCCCTGGAATAGAGCCACTGGCTTTGACATGTCTCCCCCATGGCCATAGGTCAGTTCAAGACACCAGAGCTGCCTAAATGAGCCCAAGGAATCTTTGGCAGAACACAGCATCCCCACTTCTGGGGCAGGTGGCTACTTCATCTGAGTTCCCTGGGGGGAAAGCATACTGGCCTGTGTTTGGGCAGATCTGGAATCCAGCCCTGCCTCCCTGTCCCTCTCACTGTCTAGCTTTGGCTAGTCACTTTACCCAGTCTCAGGATCCTTTTCCACTGCAAAATGGAGAAAGTACTAACGACCAGCCTAGGTGCATGCAGTTATGCAGGCAATTGACCAAGGGAGTTAGTGGAGGTGTATGTGTCAAGATCCCACTTTTGTCCTCTGAATCAACAGTGGCACTTATGCAGAGATGGCACAGGGCAGTTTCTATGATCCAAATGGTGGTTCTGAGGGGGCAGCTTGAAGACACCAGTCAAAGAGATTTGGTGCTCGTATAGACTCGTTCTCTTCTCCAGGGTTCTTAGGCCTTTATCTTGTCCCCTTTTCTCCTCTCTCCAGGGCTCAGCCTGCTGCTGCTACCATTGCTTCTGGTACAAGCTGGTGCCTGGGGGTTCCCAACGGGTCCCCTGAGCTTGCAGGAGCTGCGCAGGGAATTCACAGCCAGCCTGTACCTTGCCAGGAAGCTGCTCTCTGAGGCTCAGAGCTATGTCCACAGCTTTGTGAGTCTCCCTAATGCAGTCGGGTCTGGAGGTGGGGACACCCCCAAGTCTCACTGGGCCCCACTAACAGAACTAACCCTTCAGGCGGAATCGCGACTGCCAGGAGTGAGCCTGGACCTCCTGCCGCTGGGACACCACCTCCCCAATGTTTCGCTGACCTTCCAGGCATGGCATCACCTCTCTGTGAGTGAAGGGCAGGGAGTGGGAAGACTGGGAGTAAGGCATGGTGCATGGGCAAAGGCTTGAGTGGACATGGGTCTGCAGGTTCATGTGGTTAATGTGCCTCTGTGTATAGAAGCTCAGAAGAATGGCACACATCTGTAATCCCAGTACTTGGGAGGCAAAGACTGCGGTTTGAGAGAGAGAGAGATGGAAGAGGAGCAAGGAGGGGCATGATGCATGCTGGAGTTTGAAAATGGGAATAGGAAGACGATGAGGATGACTCTGGATGGGGAAGAGGTGGGGCTGGGATTGTAATGGGATTGGGAATGGAGGTAGCTGTGGGAAAGAGAAGGACTGGTCACTGGGGTGGGAGTTGGGGGTCAGAGCTAAGAAGATCATTGTGGATGTGGGTGAAAATTAGGTTAGGGATGGAAGAAGTGGCTGGAATAGGCAAACAGTGAACCTGAGACTGCAGAGGGAGTTGTGTTAGTAGAGGGAATGAGGTGGGAAAGCAGGCAGAGATGTTGGAAACAGGATGTGACTGACAGGTTAGACAGGGTGGCAAAGGAAGGAGTGGAGTGAGGCTGTGGATGGAGGGGCTAAGCTGAGACTGGAGACGAGTATGGGCTAAGAAGGAGGAGATGGGATAGAGCTCAAAGCAACGATCAACTCAAGGAGGCAGAAAGATGTCTTAGTAGATAAAGGAACTTGCTGCCAAGCATAACAACTTGAGTTCAATCCCTGGGACTCACATGGTGGAAGGAGATAACCAATTCCAGCAAGTTGTCCTCTGACTTTCACAGGGAAGTTCACACATATACACATGCTATAAACAAACACAATGTAATAATTATGTTTTGTTGTCTTTTTGAGACACGGTCTCACCATTTGCTCTGGCTGTCTTGGAACTCACTATGTAAACCAGGCTGGCCTCAAATTCACATATATTTACCTGCCTCTGCCTCCCGAGTGCTGGGATTAAAGGTGCGCGCCACCACTGCCCGGCCTAAATGTTTTAAAGAGTAAATTTGAGGATGAAATGAAGGCTGGGATTAAAAAGAGACCCACATGAAGATGGAGCTGGGTTTGGTGTTCTGCGGGTGTCTCCTGAACCAGTCCCTTCCTTCAATAGGACCCAGAGAGGCTCTGCTTCCTCTCCACCACACTTCGGCCCTTACCTGCTCTTCTGGGAGGGCTGGGCAGCCAGGGGACCTGGACCAGCTCAGAGAGGGTGCAGCTATGGGCCATGAGGCTGGATCTCCGGGACCTGCACAGGCACCTTCGCTTCCAGGTAGAGTACCCACTACACTCCTGGTCCCCAGGGATCGGCGAGCAAGACGGGCTCACTGGCTACCTTCTTAAACGCCCCTGTGAATCAGGTTGAGGAAGCCTAATGAAACAGTCCAGACCCTGTGTGTGAGCAGTGGCATCAGAGCCTGCCTCGCCCAAAGTCTCTGCCTGTTCTTGGGGATTGAACTCCAAGGAAAGAAAAACCCGGGTCACCTGGGACAGACTCTGTCATCATTGGGTCCAGTATCTCGTTCTCTTCTCCCTCCAATTATGACATCACTCAGATTCTCCTATACAGTTCAGAGGGCAATAGAAGTTTTACCGTAGTAAAAGGAGAATAGAAATTGCAAGCAAGAGTGGGAAGTAGTTATGTCACACCCGTTGACCCTGAAAAAAATTTCTTAATAACAGAAAGGGATTTCCTGAGCAGCGACCCCCAGGGCAACCCAGGGAATTAACCCCAACCTGTTTGTAGTGCCTTGCTCTACCAGGGCCATTTTTTTAATTTAAAAAAAAATTAGGTAAGGGGTCTGGAGAGATGGCTCAGTGGTTAACAGCACTGGCCACTCTTACAAAGGACCCGGGTCCAATTCTCAGCACTTACATGGCAGCTCAGTCATCAGTTCCAGGGGAATCTGATGCCTTTTCTCAACTCCTGGGCACCAGGCATGTAGGTGGTGCAGACATACATGCAGAGAAAGCATCCGTACACATAAAAGAAATGTAAACGTTGTCTTTTGTTTGTTTGTTTAATCTGGTAAGCCAAGTGTAGTGATGCATTCCTGTAGTCCCAAACACTCGGCAGGCTGAGAGAGGAGGACTGTGAATCCAAGGCCATGCTGGAGTTACATAGGAAGATTCTGAAAAAACAAATACACACACGAAACAGAGAGCTGGAGAGACGGCACAGCGGTTAAAGCACTTGTACCTGCAGAGGATAACCACTCACAAACATCCACCACGCCAGTGTCAGGGTATCTAGCACCCCCTTCTGGCCTCCAAGAACAGCAGTCATGCAGGCAATGCACATACATACTTGTAGGCAAAATGCCCATACATACAAAATAAGAATAAATAAATCATTTTAAAAATGTTTTTATTTGACTGGAGAGATAGCTCAGAGTTAAGAGCACTGTTTACTCTGGCAGATGACCCTAGTTTGAGTCCCAGCATCCATATGGTGGCTCACAACTATCCTGAACGCCAGTTCCAGGAGACCTGGTGCATCTCCTCAAGCACTGCACACATGTATTACACACACATGCACTCAAGTACACATAAAAACTAATCTAAATGATCTTAAAGGAAAAGAAACAGAATATCAGACTCAGATAAGACACGAGATGTTGACACCAGAGGTCTGAGGTCTGAGGTAGAAACTGTCCAGAGCAATCATGGCCTGTGGTCCCGGATGTCATTAGGAGGCGATGGGCAACAGAAGGAATGAAAACGCTTCCGGCTCTAGACGTGGCACCGTGTGACCCATGGGTCTTTCCTTACAGGTGCTGGCTGCAAGATTTAACTGCTCTGAGGAGGAGGAGGAAGAGGAGGAGGAGGAGAAAGAAGGGAAGGGGCTGTTCCTAGGGGCTCTGGATGGCCCCAAGCAGGTGTCATCTCAGGTGTCTTGGCCCCAGCTGCTCTATACCTACCAGCTCCTACACTCCTTGGAGCTTGTCCTATCTCGGGCTGTTCGGGACCTGCTGCTGCTGACCATGCCCCGGCACCCAGACCCTGCTTTGGGTTCCCAACACCTAACTTCCAGCCCTGTGGAGTGACCTTTAAGCTCCCTTCCACACCCATTAAGACTCTAAGGCTGGAGTCTGGCCGGCAGTACAGGACAGTCTCTAGCCCATTTGCCTTAGACTGGGCAGGGCTTCACTAGTCCCCAGCCCTGACCCAATAACTTAAAAACCCAACAGTCCTCACCAGATATTTATTTCTTGGATATTTATTTATTTTTAGGAAATGGTGGTTTATTTATTGTTTCATTCTTGAGTTAGGCCACCATGTTGGGTGCCTAATAAAGCCCTCTGGCCCACTTTGTGCCTCCACATCTTCACAGGAGTGTCTGACGCCCAAAGAGCAGGGCAGCTTGGGGACAGTCGGAAGCTTCCGCCTACCCAGAACTTCTTACTCCTGTATTCTTGGTGTTCCTGCAACGTTCCCCAACTCTGACAGGGGGTTACCATAGCAACCTGCAGAGTTGTGATATTGAGCTTGCTGTCATTTTGGAAACTCAAAGCATCTGGTCTGCTGCCCACGGCTGTTGACTCCAGGCAGTGCTCTTTCTGCCCCTTGAATTTCTTTCCTTCAGGCTGATTTCCACCCCAGAGATGTGTTATCTTACACAGCTCTCTGTGGGGCTCTAGCATGATGGCAATTGGGGAGGGTGATCATACGGGGAAGATTTAAGGGGAAAGAATCTTCCCGTCCCTGTCTTCCTTGTAGTTTCCTGAGCAGCCGAGACAGACGGGCAGGTGACCAGGGCAGGGACCCATGGCAGATGCCAGTGGGACAGGTGCTCCACCAGCTTCCACCAGGGAACCAGGCTCCTTAGATTCAAGGTCTTCATAAACATCTGGTTTAGCTGAGGCCAGGAGGGTGAAGAAGATGTGTTCCAGCAGCTGAGGGAGTGAGAGAGTCCAGTAGAGCCTTCTTACCCTCCCTTAGGAGGCCTGGCTTGCAGGGGCTGTAGGCCCTGTCACTGTGGCTTTGGCCGGCTCAGTCGAGCTTGCAGCTCCTGCATCATGCCAGGATGAGCAAAGCCAAACCTGTGGAAGGAACAGATCCATGGGAGCTGGATCCCAGGTGCCCAGCCCACAGCCTCCCCACCATCCCAAGTGCCCCTGTGCCTACCCATGTCCCAGCACTTTTCTCCTGGCTGGCACTGGTGTCCCTTCAGGCCTTGTAACACTTGGCTCTGAAGTTTCCTCTGGCTGAAGAGGCGACTGCTCAGGGAACAGCGCCTCCTGCTCAGGGAACAGCGCCTCCTGGGGTTGGGGACTGGGAGGGTCACACTGCGGCTCGGAAGCAGAGATTCGACGCAAGGAGGGCCTTGAGCGCCGCTTGGAGGAATTTCGCGAGAGAAGCACACGACTTCGAGGGACAGAGACATCCAGGCGGGACCCAGGGAGCAAGGCCTGCAGGGCACGGGACACAGAGGACTGTGAAGAGCGGATCTCTCGCCTCTGCTTGCCCCTTGCCCCTGTTGGGGTTCTCTGGGGCTCTCACCTCACTCCAGCAGCTGTGCCCCTCCCCTGGGGCGCTTGCTGTGGTCTCAGCAGATTCAGAGAAGCCAGGCACAGCCAGTGTGGAGATTTGGTGTGTCTGCTGCTTCTCCTGGCCTGAGGTGTCCTCCAGACCTTCTGGTTCATTCTCCTGGATCTCTGCCCTCCGTGCTTCTCCCACGGCACCCTCCACACCGTGTAGCTTTTGTGTCTCTCCCTCAGCGTTGTGGGCCTTCCACTCTCCTGATAGCCCTCCCCCAGCCTCCTTTTCCAACAGTATCTGATCTCCTAGGGGCACCTCAGTCTCCATGATGGTTATAGACTCCTCAGCTCTCTCTGTCTGGGAGTCTAAAGTCACACCATCCACTCCCCTCATTCCTTCTGCCTTTACAGATATCTCCGTCTCCCACTCTCCCTCTCCAGTCTCGCTAACTTCTTGGACGTCACAGCCAGTCGCCCTGTCTTCCGCTGAGCTCTCTGAGGCATTTTCCCGGCCACTTTGCTTCTCTGTAGCCTCTTCCAGCTCGGTGCCTCCCCCAGTCTCCTCTCTGCCTTTAGAATGCCAGGCTCTCCCAAACTCCCTCTCTGGAGCCATCCCGGCTTCCCATTCAGGCCCTTCCTCTGCCCCCACAGTCCTGATACCCAAGGTAATCTCAGCAGCCGAAGAACTGGTCTGTGTATCTTCGCTGCCCTGCAGGCTTAGCGCCCCCTCCTCCAACCTTCTCTTCCTGCACATTCTGTTTGCCTCCCAAGGCACTGCAGCCTCCCCCTCAGCAGCCTTGTTTTCTGTGGGCTCGGAATCTCCCACTGGCTGGCCTGTTCCTATCTCGGCTCCTTGGCTTCCCTCCAGCTGCTGGTTCACTGCTGCGGAGACCAGTCCCACCTCTGCTCCCCATCCTGGGACCTCTGGCTGCTGGGATTCCTGGCCTCCTTCAGCCAGGACCTCCACTGCCTGCCCTGTTGCAATCCCTTCCTCAGCTGCCTCTTCCGCATCTGCTTCTACCTCCTGGGTATCTGTGCTGTCTACATCCCTTCTCCAGTTTCCCTGGGCTTCTAGCTCAGGACCTGCAAACCCCACAGTCTTGGGACAGTTCTCCAAGCTTAGCGTACCCTCTGGGCTCAGGTCTGGAGCTCTCCTGGTCTCTTCCTGACCCTTCTGTCCTTCCTCAAGCTCAGGGTCCTGTCCTTCAATGACCTTTACTCTCAAAACCTCTTGTCTCGTCTGAGCTGCCTCACTCTTCTCTCCCATAAACAATTCCTCGGGTCCAGTTTCTGCTGATTCTTCCAAGTCAGGCTCACCTTTAGCCTCCTTGCGCAGGACTAGCATAACCTCCGTGGCCCCATAGCTCCTTTTCTCCCTGGGGGACTCTTCTGCCTGCACCTCCTCTTCTAGACTCACCCCTTATCCCCAGTGTCTAAGTCTTGCCTTTCCTCCTCATCAAAGCTGCTCTGTGTCTCCTGGTCTCCCACAGCCTCCTCCCCTGCTATCTGGCCTTCAGTCATCTCATTGGCTCTCTCCATCTCCAGGATCTGGGTCTGATGTCTGGCTTCAGCCTCTCTCTCCTCATTGATCTCATCCTGCTGGTCTCCCTTGCAAGCCTCTTCTAGGACCCAGACTCTCCCAGTAGCTTCTGGGATGCTGTCTTCTGGATCTGGCCCATATTCTGCGTCCAGAATGCATAGGTTATCAGCCTCCTCCCTGCCTGAGGCTGTCCAGGCCTCTCTACCCAACACGGCCCAGTCCTCAGATTCTGCCCCTGGATTTTGTGTCCCCTGCGCCCTTTCACTTTGGCTATCTCTCGACAGGGCCATCCTCTCTTCTTCCTTGTCAGCCCCTTTGGCCCCAAACCCCTTGGCTTCTACAACTGCCTCCTTGACCATCCAGTCTGTCTCTTTGCTGTCCTCAGTTACATTCTGCCCGTCAGTACCAGCATCATTGCCCTCAGGCTCCCTGTGCCAGGCTGGCTGTGACTCCACCCCCCTGGCCATCTCTGGCTCTGCTGCTCTGACTACCTCCTCTTCCTTCTGTTCACAGGTTCTCAGTGGCTCCCCACTGCTCACTTCCTGCTCACCGTGCTCCCAGATCTCCTGGGCTTTATTATTACCCCTGTCTCCGTGAGTCCCAGGCCCTGCCTGGGGCTTCAGTGGAGCATTTGGCTCCTGGCCCTTGGCACCTTCAGCTGCCTTCCTGGACCCAGTGTCCTGCCTTTCTGCTTGGGGCCTTGGGGAGCTGTCTGCTCTCCGCCCCCAGGCCTGTTCACCCACTAAACTTCCTTCTTGGCATCCTATGATCTCTCTAGGTGCTCCTACCCTTTCGCTCTGGTCACTTCTAAATCCCTCCAGTGCCTCCTGGGCTTCCTCCCCTGTCAGCTTCCCTGGCTCCCCTGCAGCCACTTCCCCCAGTTCCTCAGCTGCCTGTGTCTCCCTGTCCACCGTGGGGACTGCATCTCCTAGGAGGTAGGACACAAAAGCACTGAAGGAATCCTAGAAGAGAAGAAAGCAGAGTGAAGACATTCAGGGGAAGTCTAGCCTTCTCTAGGGCCACCACGCCAAAAAAGCCCAGGTAAGAAATCTGCCATTGGAAATCTGCGTAAGGACCAAAATAGAACCGAGCCTGGAGTACATGCATGCGCTTATGGAGGCGGGAGATTGAAACCCAGGAAAGACTGGGCTAGGAGTCCGGCTGGCTGTAGGAAAGGGGGCCCGAGCCTGAGGAGAGACTACTAAGGAAGGGGAAGGTGGCACTCTAGGGAGTGGCTGGAAGCCTCTGGTATCTCTCTGCCCCTCTCACCAGTGCTCCCCTCAAGGCCTGATGCAGCCCAGGGAGGCGAAGTCGGAGAAAATCCATCCTGTAGGTCTCCGTGTGTCCAGAAAGCTCACAATGACCATCTGTCCCCACCCACTAATGCAAGCCAGTCCTCCCCAGCACCCAAGACACTTCCTCTTCCCCTGTCCCTCCCTGACGTATCTCCACCCCAGGCCCTGTGCACCTCCCCCACGCTCATGGATGACTTTATGACAGGCAGGGAAATGGCTGTGCAGTGTCCAGGTGACTCAGGTTCAGGTGCACATCTAGAGCTAGAGGGCAGAGGGTCAGGTCAGAAAGAAAAAAGTGGGAACAGGAGACTCAGAACTGGGGAGCAGAGAGGGGGCATGTGGCAAGGGCAGCTGAGTGACTCAGGTCTTATATTCACACCTCAGCCATTTCCGTCTCCTCCAAGCCACAGTCTTCAGTGAGAGGAAGCTAGGGTTTGTGGTTCCTGATTTATCTGGGGAGAAGCAGTAGGAGTGAGGATAAGGCTAGTGGACGTTCTGGCTTCCCACTTCCACACCATAAGCACTTCTCTACGGGATAAAAGCCAGGATTGGTGTATCCAATGCCCATGTCCTCCTCACCTGTGGTTATTCTTGTACTGTGGTTACTTGTCACTCACAGCTTTCTGTGAGTTCCGTCAGAACAGAGGCTGCAGAATTTCTAGAGTAGGATCGCTTTTCTCACTGGTTGAGTGATCTAGGAAGAACAGCATCGTGGGGCATATTTCAAACAGCAGTCTTAAAGACTGGTGGTTGAAAAGAGCTGGTAGAAGTAGGCACAGGCTGCTAGAAGCCATAACAGAGGAACCGGCTCGATGAAGAGTGATCAAGATGCTGTCCTGCCACCAAGAGGAAGGAAGGTAAGGAAAGACTCTCTGTTTGGGACTATGTATTCCAACTGCCCTCCCAGTCTCGATTTCCTAATTTCCAATGAAGACAACTGGCTGACATCACAGAACAGGAAAAGTTCTTGCTCAGTGAACTCAGCACCTCTGCTCTATGTCTTACTGCTAACTGGGTCTCTAAAGTCATCTATAGGTTTAATGGCGGATTAACATTGGAGGAAGGGGACCTTGATGTTCTCATCTGTAAAACCAGGGGTTGTACTACTTTTGTGGTATTTGTTGGTTGTAGGATAATATGGCCACAGTTAATTCATGGAAACCTGTTGGGTGGGTGTTATCTTTTCACTTTCTAGACAATTGTTCAAATCAAGGTACCTCCCAGTTGCTTATTTTAGGTTTTTACAACAGTGTGTGAGGACAACAGATAAGAAGGACCACCTGAGGCTAGTAGCCTTTGCTCCCAAGCAGAACTAGTCCTTGGGGAGTTGGTGGATGGTGGGACAGGAGTAGGAAAGTAGCCATATTTGTTTAAGGCAAGTGAGGGCAGCAGGAAAGAAGCTGAAGCCTCCCGCGCCATGACTAATACTGGCAGATTTGGCGGCTTCTAGAGTTCCGCCTTTCGTGGCTCTACTTGTGGCTCCCACCATTCCAGTTCAAAACCAGTGCTTCCAGGATTCTTCCGAGCTCTTCTTTTCTCACTCCCCGAAGTTTGGGAAGACCTAAGGGGAAAACAGGACCCGGAAGTAGGGAGCAACTTCTAAGCACGTGATGGGAGACGCCCTGGTACTGACACGTGACCCTCCAACCTGCTACTCTACCTTGCGGAGAGGTCAGCTGCTCTTAAAGGTACAGGCCCGGGGGGGCGGGGGCTTTGCTTTAGAGGGGACGGGGGCGGGGTCCGACGGGTGGGGCGTGGGTGAACAGGAAGTGGAAATCCGGGGACCCGCTGATGGACTGCCCTGTGTAGCAGACAGCCGGACCTGGGACGGACCCCGGGGCGTTGATCCTTCGCACCCACCTGTCCCAGACTTTTGTATGTTCTCTTGAAGCCAACTCCGAACACACGCTGACACAGGGCCCTTTGGGGGACCCGAACTCGATGCTATGGGGAACTTTGTGGGCTCGTGGAGGCACCTTCAGGATTCCGAAAGTGAGTGTTCTTGTCTGTTGTCTTTTGAGTGACCGCCTCTGCCCCGCGACGCTCCCGCAACAGGACACAACAACACACAGGCAGTCGCGGAGTGAGTGGTGGGTCATGCCTTCTCTTCTCCCAGGGGAGGAGACCGACTCAGAGCCCCATGCCCGTCCGATGGATGGCCAGAGTGCCCAATGGAAGAATGCGGTGGGCTTCTGGTAAGTGGTCTGAGAGCTGTGCAGAAGTGCGACTGGAACATCAGGGGTGAGAGTCAAGCTGAGAAAAGCTATTGAATCCACAAATACTGAGTCAGCTGGTTTACCCTTGGCCACCTGTGAGCTTTCCAAATTCCATTAAATTACCACCATCACCTATTGATCAGAGACTCTTACCATCTGTAGAGTTATTAAATGTTTTCCTCCAAACAACTCAGCTACAACTTTTTTTTTTTTTTTTTTTTTTTTTTTTTTTGGTTTTTCGAGACAGGGTTTCTCTGTGGCTCTGGAGGCTGTCCTGGAACTCGCTTTGTAGTCCAGGCTGGTCTCGAACTCACAGAGATCCGCCTGCCTCTGCCTCCCGAGTGCTGGGATTAAAGGCGTGCGCCACCAACGCCCGGCACAACTTTGTTTTTTAATTTTTATTTTTTTATGGAAAGGTCTTTATACCCCAGGCCAACTTTAAACTCTGTGGGCAGTGACTGCTTGCCTTGAATTTCTAATCGTCCTGCCTGTGCCTTCTAGGTGCCAGGATTGCAGGCCTGTAGCACCGCGTCCAGATCCCCATTGTTTTTATTTGCAGTGCAGGGTTTTGAAAGCAGGGCCTTCCGGGTGCTCGTGGAACCCCGTCCACAGTCCATTTGCTTTTGCCTAGCCCTGAGCACAGCTCTGGGAGATGAAAATAAGAACAATATGCTTTATGGATCAAAAAGGAGATCTGGTATTCTTTTGATTGCTCCAGCACTCTATGAGGTCAGCTGAGAACTTGCCCTCATTTTACATAGGAATCCACTAAGGCCACAGAAATAGGAAGCAACTGACTTGGGTTTCAAGTCCTGGGTAATTCTGTTGTACCACACAGTATTGGATGAGAAATGCCCCCCAGAACTGAATCTTAGTGCCTGGTGTTTAGCCATGAGCTGGTCTAATCTCAAAGCCTCGATTTCTAACCCTGAGTCTGATGTTGGAGAGAGAGAAAAAAGAGGTTGGCATTTGAAGAGTACAGGTAAGGGAGAAAGCCAGAAAGTGAAGATCTCTCCCTGTTCTAGGATCCTGGGTCTTTGCAACAATTTCTCATATGTGGTGATGCTGAGCGCTGCCCATGACATTCTTAAGCAGGAGCAGGCATCTGGGAACCAGAGTCATGTAAGTTAACCCCCCTCCGCCACACCATGTGATCAGTCCCTATGGAACTACTAGGGACTCACCCAGGGCCAGAGGTCCCCTGAAAAATTCATGAGGTAGCTATGGGTTGACCAAGGGAGTTAAAGCCTCTAGTCTCCCGTACATCAGGGCAGGAGGGATCCTGAAGAGAGCAACGGGTACCAGGTTGGGGAACTCAAATAACTGGCTGGTAAGACCTTGTTTTTGTGGCGTGTTTTGTCACCTGGGCCTTGTTGACATTTAGGGCTAGGTGGCTGTTGTGAGTTTGTCCTACACATTGTAGGTGTTTAGTAGCATCCCATGCCTCTACCCACTAACAACCAAAGATGACAGCCAAGAATGTCTCCAGATGTTACAGATGTTGCTGGCAGGTAAAGCCACACCCTGTGCAGAACTTCTGGTCTTAATGATCTAGAAAACACATACTCTAAAAGGAGAAGCCTCTGCCTTGCAGGTTCAATAGGGAATCTGGCCCAAAATGAGATTTTCCAGAAACCCAGGTTTCTATACTAATGCTCTTAAATATGTTATATCCATCTTGGGGGAGGGCGTTATCGTTGGCCTCTGGGTCAATAGTTAGAGATGTTTATAAGCATTCTCCTTCATTGTGCACATAAAGAAACTAAGGCCCCAAGAAGCCCATACCTACCCAAAGCTATCTGTCAACTTATGGCAGAGCTGCGACTGGGCCTTGTTTAACCTCTTGCCTCCTCGTAGGAAAGATTTTCTTCTCTCCTATAGGTGGAGCCAGGCCCAACACCCATGCCCCACAACAGTTCATCTCGATTTGACTGCAACTCCATCTCCACAGCTGTGAGTATCCACCTGAGGTTCCCATGATCTATGCCTTTCCACCCTCATTCCCTCTGCATCCAGTCAGGATATGTCAAGACTGCCAGTGATGAGCCGGGCGTTGGTGGCGCTCGCCTTTAATCCCAGCACTCGGGAGGCAGAAGCAGGTGGATCTCTGTGAATTCAAGGACAGCCTGGTCTACAGAGTGAGTTCCAGGACAGTCAAGGCTACACAGAGAAACCCTGTCTTGAAAAACAAAAACAACAACAACAAAAAAAATGGGGCTCCTTCTATGAGTGGTAAATAGCAACTCAGATAAGTCTCATGGTAGCTAGCTTTGTGAGTGAGGCGCTGCAGGCTTCCCCTTTTGGGATGAGGAAACTGAAGCTCAGAGCATGTAAATACCTTCACACCCATCAGAGGAGCCCAGAGCTGGGAAAGCTGGGAGTAAACCCAGATCTGTCTAGTCCCAGCGCCTGGAGTTGCTGCAGGTCGCACTGGCTCCCTCCACTGGGTTGGGAAGGTGATCTCAGGGAGGGTCGAGGCTCTTACTGTGTTCTCCTGTCTCAGGCGGTGCTCCTGGCAGACATCCTTCCCACCCTCGTCATCAAACTCCTGGCTCCTCTTGGCCTTCATTTGCTGCCCTACAGGTCTGGGTCAGGGTGGCAGGAGGAAGGCAGGGAGGGGAGATAGCAGGGGGCTGGCAAGTCTATTATGGAGGTGACCTTCTAAGTTCCTCTCCATTTCTTCTCAGTCCCCGGGTCCTTGTCAGTGCAGTTTGTTCTGCTGGAAGCTTTATCCTAGTTGCCTCTTCTCACTCAGTGGGGTTAAGCCTGTGTGGTGAGTATGCAGCTGTGTGTGGTGGATGGTCCAGAGAAGCCTCCACAGTATGCTATGGGGGTAGTCTTCCCCAGCTTCCCAGAGGGAAGGATATGTTTGTAACCCCAGGAGACTGCTAGTGGTGTTTGACACACACACACACACACACACACACACACACACACACACACACTTGTAATTCTAACACTTGAGAGACAGGGTTGTGAATTTGAGGTTAGTCTGGGGCCACCTAGTGACTTCAAGGCTACCCTAAGCTGCACAGCAAAATCTTGTCTCAAAAAACAAGGAGAGTGCCAGGCCGGGCTGGACTACATACTGAAACCTTATCTCAAAAACAAACCTGCTAGAACTCCCCTAACAGAGTGGGCTCTAGGAACAATTTGGAGGTGTTAATAGGGAGAGAGTGTGGTTTGAGTATAGATTGGGCTGAGCAGGGTTGAGTAATTGGGAAGATGAGGATGGGGTTCAGTCTTAGAAAAGACACGTGGAGGATGGTTTGGCCCCTCCAGATGACTGTCCAATCTGTTCAGTGGCAGATCTGTTTTTAGCCCACTGAGCTGATGGAGAGATGAGGCTATAATCAAATACCATAGGAGACTGTGCCTTTCAGTTAAAGGCCACCATATGCTTTTCACCCTCCCAGGAGTGGTTTTGGCCAGCATCTCATCAGGTCTAGGAGAGGTCACCTTCCTCTCACTCACTGCCTTCTACCCGAGGTAAGCAGGCTGATCAGGAAGGGGAGAGGTGTGTCCCCCTGCTGGCTCCCATCTTCCTAAATGTTCCTGTGCTCTCCTCAGCGCTGTGATCTCCTGGTGGTCCTCGGGTACTGGGGGTGCAGGACTTCTTGGATCGCTATCTTATCTGGGACTCACCCAGGCTGGCCTTTCTCCTCAGCACACCCTGCTTTCTATGTTGGGGATCCCTGTTCTTCTGCTGGCCAGGTGAGTGTCCTTGAGCCCAAAGGACAAAACTATGGGAGGAGGAGAGGAACTTGATCCCGATCCAATCTGCAGATCTCTTCAGCCTTGTTGTGAGGGCTCGTGATTCTCTGGACTCTCGACAGCCTTCAGTTTGAGTACCAGAGTGGGCGTGTGTTGGCTGTGTGACTCTGAACAGCTCCATTACCCACCCTCGGTTGTCTCTGTAACATCACAGTGGTTGTCCTTTCGTGTCAGCTGATGAACGTGAACCATCAGCACAGTGAGGACCTGAGACTGTTGTAGGACTGAGTGCAGTGTGTTGGTTCTGTGTGTATTTGTGTGTAGTAGAAAAACATTGTTAAGCCGGGAGTGGTGGCTCGTGCTTTAAACCCAGCACCCAGGAGGCAGAGGCAAGTGCGTCTCTGTGAATTTGAGGCCAGCCTGGACTACATAATGAATCCCAGGACAGACAGAGTTATATATTGAGACCCTGTTGTTGTCTGCCCCGCGCGGGGTCCCCCCCTCCTGTTCCCCTGCTGCCCCAAAAGGAAGAAAGGAAACATTAACTAGCCAGTTAAACCTGTAACTTCATATTATAGCTTAAGACTACTGTGGGGTATTCACCAGAGAAGACTGCTCAGACATGGGTTTAGGTCAATAAAAGTATTTATTAGCCAGCTGGTGACTACACTGGGTGTTCAGGATCCTGGTGTAGCACTGAGCCTTTCTCGGGGTGAGTGTTTAAGCATAACTCCATGTCCTAGGTGGACAGACTTCAGTTAACAAGAGCGGTTAGCCAGAAGCAGACCTACGGAAGCCAAAAAGCAAGGTTGCACATGCAGATACTTTCTGGGAACTATGGACTTCGGTGGGTTAGGGCATTGTTTTAGTTTTGTCAGGTGGTGCTGTCTATATGCTGAGTTTTACAGCCTGAATTGCACTTCCATCATAAAATCAGTCATGCTGAGGTCTGGGGGCCTGTTCCAAGGACAAGGCCATATAGAAAGAAGAAGTCAGGATATGTGTAATATAAAAACTTATAATCCCAACACTTGGGAGGCTGAAGCAGAGGGATCACGTGTTGGAAACCCTGCCTCAAAAAATATAGATAATTTAATATGATAGCAAATGCCTTTAATCCCAGCACTTAGGCAACATAGGCAGGTGAATCTCTGTCAGTTTGAGGCCAGCCTGGTTTACATATCAAGCTCCAAGCCATCCAGGGCCACATAGTGAGACCCTATCTCAAAAAAGCTAAATAAAGAAATAAAACCCATGATCATACAGGCTCTGGCTAAACTCAGAGTCACACACACACACAAAAGACATGAATGTGAGAAAGGGACCTGTGAGGTGGGAGAGTTCATAGGAGTGGGAAGAAGACAGGAGAGGGTGGGGTGAGGGAAACCACAGTGCAGTATCTATATGTATAAAAATGTCAAGAAACACATTTAATAAAAATTACTGTAAAAACGGTAACTGTATAAGAGCAATTGTTGGATAATGAGAACAAGGAAATGGAATTGAGCTACTACTGCTGATGTGGACCCAGTCAAATGAGGTCCTGGCTAGAAACAAAAAGCCAAAGTTGGGTTCCAAAGGATGCATTTGTCAACATTTGAAGCTTCATAGCACAGGATTGGATAACTTAGAGGCTGTGAGTTCCCCATCTTTAGATACATGCAGATGTGAAGGAGCCCCTGCAAGGGTGTGGCCTGCAGGACCGATGGGGCTCTTCTGTCGGAAGAAGAGCTCACATGGACTGTTGTTTTTCTGTTCCATCCCAGCTATTTCTTATTGCTCACATCTCCTGAACCCCAGGACCCTGGAGGGGAAGATGAAGCAGAGACTGATGCCCGGCAGCCACTCATAGGCACTGAGACCCCAGAGTCAAAGCCAGGTAGGAGACAAAGGTCCTCCCAGGGTCACGTTCCCTTAGGGGTTTTGGTCTCAATAGTGGACACAGTTGAGAGGGACAGGCTGGGTGTAAAGCTTTGGGTCGAAGCAGTCATGTATACTTACTGACGACATGCCAGGCGTTCCAATTGCTGAGGCCAGTGGGGTTCAGGAAGAAGAAATGAGAACATTTTCACAGAACACAAAACAAAGGGCCTAAAGTGGTGATGCACACCTTTAGCCCCAGCAGTTGAGAGGCAGAAACAAGCAGATCTCCACTCTGGCCTATATAGGAGATCCAGGCCAGCCAGGGCTATACAATAAGACCCTGTTTCAAAAAGGAAAGGAGAGAGGGGACAAAACACACACCCTCAAAAGAAAAAAGAAACAGAACCAGAACATGACAGTTAAAGAGACCAGGGCGGTTTAAGGGCTCTCTGCTTTACAGAAGGTTCTAAGAGGGTTGTTTTCAGTTTTTGTTTGTTTGTTGTTGTTTTTTAACAGTCTCTCCATGGGCAGTGATGGCACTCAGCAGCACTCAGGAGGCTGAGGCAGGTGGATCTCTGAGTTAAAGGCCAGCTCTGGTCTACAGTGCAAGTTCCAGAACAGCCAGGACTACATAGAGAAACCCTGTCTCAAAGAAGCAAAAAACAAAAACAGAGTCTCTTTGTGAGGACCTTGCTGGCCTGGAACTCACTCTGTAGACCAGAATGGCTTCAAATTCAGATCCACCTGCCTTTGTTTCCCAAGCACTGGGTTCAAAGGAGAGTGCCACCACACACAAGTGCCTAAGACTTATATATGTGTATGTGTTCTTGTGAGTTTGTTTACACTATGGATGTGTTGCATGCTGGCAAAGGCCAGAAGAGGGCATCCCTTGGAGCTGGAGTTACAGACAGTTGTGAGCTGCTATGAGGGTACCGGAATTGAACCCTGGTCCACTGGAAGAGCAGCCAGTACTCTTAACCACTGAGCCATCACTCCAGCCCCCAAGAGAGCTTTTAAAAATAACAAAAAACCATTTATTTATTGGGGATGGGGGTGAGCTGGAGAAGGGCATGTTTACAAATGTGGAGGTTCTGGGGATTGCACGTCACTCATTCAGGCTCGACAGTGTGCTCTCATCCACTGAGCCTGTCAGTCCAAGAAGGCTTCTTGAAGGACATCTTTGGGCTAGAACTTGGCTGTCCAGGAGTCACCCTGTGGATGTCTAGGTGAACATGTTCCAGGCTCAGAAAACAGCTCTGGCTGAGGCCTTGTGGTAGAAAAGAGTCTATTTTTAGAAACAGAAAGCACAGCCAGATAGTTTGGAATGGGGTAAGCAGAGAAAAGTTGTACACTGATCTGCAGTCTTGCTCCTCTTTTAAAAGTTAGTGTGTGTGTGTGTGTGTGTGTGTGTGTGTGTGTGTGCGTGTGTACAAAGTATGAAATTTATCCTTTTACCCACTACTAAGTGTGCATCCAGTGCCATTTAAATACTAACGTGCGGGCTGGGTGTTGGTGGTGCACACCTTTAATCCCAGCACTCGGTAGGCAGAGGCAGGTGGATCTCTGTGAGTTCGAGGCCATCCTAGTCTACATAGCGAGTGCCAAGATAGGCTCCAAAGCTACACAGACAAACCCTGTCTCGAAAAACCAAAAAAAAAAAAATTAAAAAAATAACTCACTGCTATGATGGCTGGTTGCTTGCTGAGTAATGGTACCTAGCTAAGTGTTCAGTATGCAACTTCCTCCCCCTCTCTCCCTGTTGTCTAGACTCCAGCTGGGACCTCTCGTTCCAGGAAAGGTGGACGGTGTTCAAGGTTTGGATGGTGGCTGCGGGTGCCCTGTGAGGAGCCTCTGCCTCCTGCTGTCCACTTACATCTCCACTCTTCCAGGGCCTCTTGCGCTATATCATCCCCTTGGTGCTGGTCTACTTTGCCGAGTACTTCATCAACCAGGGCCTTGTGAGTGCGGGGTGCTGGGAAGGGGTGAGGGAGGAGAAACGGGACTGAGCTCCACAGATCTCCACTTACCTGGTCTTTGTTGCAGTTTGAGCTCCTCTTTTTCCGGAACACATCCCTGAGTCACGCTCAGCAGTACCGATGGTGAGAGACATTGTCAGGTGGGCAGTGGGCTAGGAGGACTCCATGATGTTGGGGACCTGGGGTTACCCCATAGGCGCCCAGAGGAGCTTCCTCATCCTCCCTGCCCCCTCCTCAGGTACCAAATGCTATACCAGGCTGGCGTGTTCGTCTCCCGCTCTTCTCTCCACTGTTGCCGAATCCGTTTCACCTGGGTCCTAGCCCTGCTGCAGGTACTGAGCCCTGCCCTGTCTTTCCACTCTCACCTTGGCTCCCAGCATCCCTCACTCAGCAGAGGATATTAGCATTCTCTAGCATTCCTAACTATAGCATTGAACATCAGCAGGGATCCATATAAAATTTGTGGTAGCATCAGAAGCTAGTCAGGCTTGTGGGCAAATACCAGTTTCTGTACTGAATAGCTGTGTGACTCACAGCAGGTCTCTGAACCTCTAACGAACCTCAGTTTCCCCATGGAGAAATCAGATGTGGTGGGGCAGGATGTGTACCTCAGTGGCAGAGTGTTTGCCTACCCTGTATAAGGCTGTGAGTTCCATTTCTAGTACTGCAAAACTTAAAATATGTAATAGATGTGGGCAACAACTATATCTCATAGTGTCTGTACAACACTGAGAGAAAAAAATGGAAGTCAGAGACAGATATTGTTTTGTTTTATTTTGGTTTCATTGTTGTTTGTTTTATTTTTTTAGTTTTTTTTTTCCTTTGTTTTTGAGACAGGATCTCACTGTGTTGTTCTGGTTGGCCTGGAATCTAACATGTAAACCAGGCTGGCCTGGATCTCATAGATCTGCTTCACTGATACTGGCATTAAAGGCTTGAACCATAATGTCTGGCCTTTTGCTGTTTGCTTGTTTTTATAGTTCTTGTCATTGAACCTGGAACTTTGTGCTTACTAGGTCAGTTTCTTAAACCTTCAGACTCCTTATTTATTTTTACAATTTAAAAAGTTATAATTAAATTTTTATTTATTTATTAGGGGAGAAGCACTTGCCAAGTAGTGTGTGTGAAGGTCAGAACAACCTGGAGGATTAGGACCCACACGTGGAGGAGAACCAGGGATCAAACTCAGGGCTTGATCGCTTGTGAGCAAGTGCCTTTACCCAGTGAGCCATCTAGTCAGCCCAAGCTTTTTATTTGGAGGCAAATCTTTTTGTGTTTATTTGGTTTTTTGTTTGTTTGAGATAGTTTCTCTGTGTAATGGCCCTGGCTGTCCTGGAACTCACTCTGTAGACCAGGCTGGCCTCAAACTCATAGGGATCTTCATTCCTCTGCCTCCCAAGTACTGGAGCACCACCATGCCTGGCTTTTTGTTTTTTGTAATAAGATAATGTTTATGTATTTTTATTTTGGTATGATACGTGGTGTGTGTGTGTACAATCAAGGGTGTGCATACACTGGCCTGAATATAGAAGCCAGGGAACAACTTTTAGTTGTCTCTACTAGGGAAGGGGCTCAAAGTCAGGTTGTCAGATTTGCATGGCAATTGTCTTTACTTGCTGAGGCATCTTGCCACACCCCCACCCCTACCCCTGCCTTAGTGGGTTTTGTTTGTTCTGAGTTTCTATGTGTATGGGTGTTTTTTTGTTTTTGGTTGTTTTTTTGGTTTTTTTTGCCTGCATGTATGTCTGTGCATCACATACATACGATGTCCATGGAAACCAGAAGAGGGCATGGGACCCTCTGAAACTAGAGTTACAGATGACTGTGAGCTGCCATGTGGGTGCTGAGAACTGAACCCAGGTCCTTTGGAAGGGCAGTCAGTGCTCTTCACCACTGAGCCACCTCTCCAAGCACCCATCTTTTGTTATTTTTTAAGGCAGGGTCTCACTGTGTTGCCCAGGCTGATCTTGAACTTGATGACCCTCCTGCTTCTGTTTCCAAAGTGCTGGGATTTCAGGTGCGTGCCCCCATGCCTGGCTTGTACCACATTTTAATCCATTGAAATGTGTTTCATGATTTGCCAATGCTTTATGCAAAAGACATTTTTGGGGGGGGGGTTTCGAGACAGGGTTTCTCTGTGGCTTTGGAGGCTGTCCTGGAACTCACTCTGTAGACCAGGCTGGCCTCGAACTCACAGAGATCCGCCTGCCTCTGCCTCCCAAGTGCTGGGATTAAAGGCGTGTGCCACCAACGCCCGGCGACATTTTTAAAATCAGATGGAGGCATACTGTTCATACCTGTAAAGAAACCCATGTTTCTTTCATCTTAGGTTAGGTTATTTAGAATAGAATCAGTGGCATTTTGGTCAAGTGAGTGTTTTTATCAGTGAATAATTGCTAGGAGCAAATTCAGCTGCCCTTAGCAGAGATCTGTGGTTCTTAGTCAATAATGGCTCTTTGTAGCAGTCTCCCAAGAGGAGCCTGACACACCAGCATACATCTAGAGATCCACACCCTAAAGTGACTTTTAAACCTCTGACTACAACTTCAGCATCCCTAATGCAACATCTGAAATGCAAAATGCAAAATACTAACTTGTATGACATTACAAATGCAAAATCCCACACCATGAAACTTCCTTTCATGAGAAAACTTACTACATGTATAGAGTATACATGAAAAATGAGTTTCACAGTTAGACTTGGCTCCTATTCCAAGATCTATCATTATGTATATGCAAGTATTCCAGACATCTAAAACAAAACACTTCTGTTTCCAAGTGTTAAGGGATCCAATCCCTTCATTATAGGAAAGTACTTTATCCTTGTAATTAAAAGTATTTTTTATAACTTACTTGATGGGCCAGGAAGATGCTTCAGCAGGTAAAGGAACTTGTTGCCACCAAGCCTAGTGTCCTGAGTGCAATCCCTAGGTCCCCACATGATGCAAGGACAGAATCAATTACTAAAATTCTCTGATCTCCACACACATGTGCACTGGCATATATACACACTTGTACACTCAAAAACAAAAAATACGCCAGGCAGTGGTGGCACGTACCTTTAATGGCTGCACTCAGAAGGCAGAAACAGGCGGATATATGTGAGTTCGAGGCTGGGCTGGACCTATGATAGCCTCCAAAACAATACAGAGAAACCCTGTCTTGTAAAAACCAAAAAAAAATAAAAAAATAAAAATATTAAAGGGGGGTGTGCAAAGTGTTGCAGAAATGCCATCAAACCTAACAACCTGAGTTTGGTATCTGATTGTCATACATGCACATAAGTGCACATATACACCAAATAAATGTAATAAATTTTTAATGTAAAAGAGAAGTTAATTCCATGGTGAAATACAGAAATACAGATTATATTCTGAAGCTCAGACAACAGTCCATAGCCTCCAACCCTCCTATTGATCTGGTACTATTAGCCCAAGGCTAGGTCAACAGTTGTCAGCCATTTGCACGTGGAAATTATGGATGTCGCCAAAAGGTTTAGGTTACAGTCTGATGTGTGGCCTGCTCCCTGAATCCCTACCGTTCCCCACAGCACCAGACCTCATACCACAGGCGCAGGTTTGCAGCTCCGACCCTTGCATCTCTATCACCAGAGTGTGTTCTTATGCAGATCTCTGAGCCTTCCCAGACTGACTCAGTGATGACTTTAGAAAGAGGAGGCCTTCCTGGTCCCCGGTTAACACGTCTCCAGTTAATTCTCTGTGTGTGGAGCCTATGAGCCATCAGATGGTGACCCACACTGGAGGGAGGGCACATAGTATCCTGGAATAGCAGAACATGCCTGAATAACTTGGGACAGAGGAGGGCTTGGCACCCTCAACTGGGGGACCAAGGAGGCTTCTTCAAGTGAGAACATGAAAACTATGGTTTCTCAACTCCAGTACTCTTAAAAATTTTTTGAGACTAGGTCTCTATGTATCCTTGACTGGCATGGAGTGCATTATATAGGCCAGGCAGGCCTCAAACTCAGAGATTTGCCTGCCTCTGCCTCTGGAGTGCTGGGTTAAACGCATACTTCACCATTCCTGGCCCTCTTTTATTTTTTTTTAATTATGTATATGAAGCTGGGCGTTGGTGGTGCACGCCTTTACTCCCAGCACTTGGGCGGCAGAGGCAGGCGGATCTCTGTGAGTTTGAGACCAGCCTGGTCTACAAGAGCAAGTTCCAGGACAGCGTCCAAAACAATATAGAGGAACCCTGTCTCGAAAAACCAAAAAAAAAAATATGTATATGAATGTTTGCCTACAGAGATATATATATATACGAACCACCTGCGTGGCTGGCAATTGTGGAGTACAGAAAGGGTGTCAAATCCTCTGGAACTGGGATTACAGGTAGTTGTGAGCCACCATGTGGGTGCTGGGAACCAAACCCAGGACCTATGCAACAACAGCAAGTGCTATTAATCACTGAGCTATCTTTCCAAATTTTTATGGTCTTGACATTTGGAGCCTGATAATTACGTTGTGTTGCTGTCTTGTACATTGTGGGTTTAGCAGTATCCCTGGCTAGATGCAATGAGACTGCTAGGGAGTCCTATTGTCAAATGACCCCTTGATCTCCGTCCAGTAGTTAGGGGAGAATAGGGAATGTTCAGGGATGCCCGGGTGCTGAAGATAAGACTGGTAGAGTATTTGCCTGTGAAGCACAAGGTTCTGACTTAGATCTGCAGGGGGGGAGGGGTGGTTAGGTATGGTGGTTCATTCCATCAAGAAAAACAAAACAAAAAAAAAAAACAAGAAGGAAATGAGGTGGCCAGTGACCACAGTGGGAATGAGCCTGATCCAAGTAGAGAGATCACCAGTGAGGGATGCTTGAGAAGCATTCCAGGCTAGGAGTTATGGGAGAAAAGGAAGGGGAGGAACCTGCAAGGTGTGTGGAGATGAGGATGGGGCCAGGGAAGGCCCACCAAGCTCTCAGGGTCCTGCAGGCCCAGCTGGGCCCTGGGATCCTACCCAGGCCTGTTAGTCCTTTCCTTCCCCAGTGTCTCCTGCAACCAGGCAGCTTTGAGACATGCTACCTCCATGCTGTGCTGTTGCCCAGTCTCAAGCCTCTACTTGCTTCTGCCCACAGTGCCTCAACCTCGCCTTCCTACTGGCAGACGTATGTTTGAGCTTCCTGCCCAGCATCTACCTTATTTTCATTATCATTCTGTATGAAGGGTTCCTGGGTGGAGCTGCCTATGTGAATACCTTCCACAACATTTCTCTGGAGGTCTGTGTCAGTTGGGCATGGGCTGTGGGTGGCCTCAAGAGTCTTGAGGATGGAAGCCTAACCCTTGTTCTTTGCTCTCCTAGACCAGTGACAAGCACCGAGAGTTTGCCATGGAGGCTGCCTGTATCTCTGACACCTTGGGAATCTCCATGTCAGGGGTCCTGGCCTTGCCTCTGCATGATTTCCTCTGCCATCTCCCTTGACATGGGTTGCTCAGGACACACTGACCTGCAGGCAGATGAGCTCACATCTTCCTAGCTAGGCTGGGGAGTGGGAAGAGTCCTGCCCTGCTTCAGCAAGGAGCCTCCACTGTTTCCCACTCCCGAGCTGGTCTCTGGGAGTTTTCCCTCACCTTATGCTCTTCTAATAAATGCTTATTTTATTAATTTACCTTTTGTGCAGTGTAGTAAACTTTCTTGTCAGACTATCTTTGGATCCCCAGCCCCCAATAACGACAGGGAGACTTACTAATTATGAAAGCCTGGCCTTAGCTTAGGCTTTGTCCTAACTAGCTCTTACATCTCAATTGACCTGTTTCTATTAATCTACCTATCACATGGTTTGTTGTTTACCTCTCTTCTGTGCTATATGTATTCCTGTTGTCTTTGCCTTTCTTCTTCCCAGCATTCTCTCTTCCTGGAAATCCTGCCTAGCTATTGGCCATTCAGCTCTCTATTCAACCAATTACAATGATCTGTCTTCACAGTGTACACAAATATTTCGCAACAGTGCAGTCTATCTGAAACTGAAAAATTACGTTAGCCCATTTTGGAATGTGTGTTTATGAGTGTATAAAGCATTTCAGAGCAGTGTTGTGGCACACGCCAGTAACTCTAGCACTCGGAAGGCAGGAGAATACAGACTCATGACTGACCTGGGAGAAGCGGGACCCTGACGACTAAGGCTATATAGTTCAATGGTAGCATTCTTAGAGACCTCTGGTTTTTTTTTTTTTTTTTTTTTTTTGGTTTTTCGAGACAGGGTTTCTCTGTATTGTCTTGGAAGCCGTCCTGGAACTCGCTTTGTAGACCAGGCTGGCCTCTAACTCACAGAGATCCACCTGCCTCTGCCTCCTGAGTGCTGGGATTAAAGGCGTGCGCCACCAACGCCCGGCTGAGACCTCTGTTTTTATTGCCGGAAAACAATAAAAGTGCCAGTGTGTGCTGATATGTTTTATAATCCCAACACTTGGGAGGCAGAGGCGGGAGGATCAGGAGTTCATGGTCTTCTGCTACATAGTAAGCCAAAGCCAGCCTGGCCTACATGAGATATTGCTCAAAAATAATTAGCCAAGCAATGGTGCTGCACACCCAGTAATCTGGAGGCAGAGGAAGGCAAATCTCTGTGAGTTCCAGGCCATTCTGATCTACAGAGTGAGTTCCAGGACAGCCAGACACTGTCTTGAAAAGCCAAAATAAAATTGGTAATAATTTTTAAAACGGTATGATCGTGGTTCAACAACAGTCAGAAGTAAATGGCATGTGACTTTAATTCTGGCACTCATGACACCAGTCAAGGCTACCTTGTCTAAAAAAGAAAGACAGGAAAAGGATAGCTGAGCACCCAACCGGACACAGAAGCACTCCTACAGTCCCTCTAGGTTAGTTGAGGCAGAAGATCAGCTTGATCCCACCATCTTGAGGCCATCTGATGTTCAGATAGACAGCCAGAGCATTTTTCTGAGTCCAGTCTGGCCTCGAACCCAAGATCTTCCTGCTTCAGTTTCCCTAGTCTGGGGATTACAGACGTGCACCATCAGGAGGTCACCATATTCTATCTTTTCAGTCTTGCAGCCTAATTGTGGCAGTCCCGGGAAATAGCGACTCAAACCCTCTACAACAAATTGGTCCCAGGCCTGGATGGCGCAAAGACCACTGGGAATTGTAGTTATTTAGCGCGGTCTTAAGCGCTTCCAGGAACTGACGCACCAACCATTTCCTCTTCCGGCGTCGCGGCTGTCTCGCCTCTTCTGCGTGACTCCGGAGCACCGCCGGTTTGTATTTCTTGCCCCTGGTGGTCCGCGGAGGGTAAGGGGAGGGCGTGCAGGCGGGAAAAGGGGTCGGGATCGGGAGGTGGTGCCCGCGGTTGTCCCCGAGCCCTGACGCCGCGGTTTAACTCAGGTTCCAGCCGCGCGCGCCTCAGCCCTTAAGCGCCGTCGCCATGTCGCGGTTTTTCACCACCGGTTCGGACAGTGAGTCCGAGTCATCCTTGTCCGGGGAGGAGTTGGACACCAAACCCGTCTCGGGAAACTACGGCAGACGGTGAGCTGGAGGCGCTTAGAGAGCGGGTTTGGCAGTTCGCGGGGGCCTCGTGTGGGTGAGGGGAGCCGAGCGGGCTGTGGGCGTCAGAAGAAAGCAGCTCATTTGGGAGTCCTCGACGTGGTCCTGAGACCGAGGACCGGACGCTTCCCGCTGCTTGGTGTATCAGAAGCTTCGTTCCTTCCCCACATTCCCTCCCCGGTGTCCCTCTCTTCTCCCTATAAACCTCTTCGTACGAAGCCGTCCTCAGTGACATTTTTGTATTCATGGAAGGAGACATTGAGTGCTTGATAGTGTATAGTCTGTTGTGGCTATGAAGTCCTGTCGTTTGGCTCTGCGTGACAATTGTTAATCACTACTGAAAGATTTGTGTACCCTGATATTAAGTCTCTCCGCCCACGCAGCCAATAAAACCAAGCAGAATTAAGAATTAAAAGTCCAGGTTTAATGAGTAAAACTCTCCAGGATGGTCTCCCAGCAGCCGGAGAGGAGACTGGGGGGAGGAACCTGAAAGTCATGTAGCTGTTCCTTAAGAGGACATTTAATACCCTGCAGACAGTCCCAAGGATGTCCGGGGAGGAGGAGATAGATGCCTTTGTCAGGCTTTCAGACACTGAGCAGGGCTTGGAGTGAAGGGGAGCCCAAGGCAGTGCTGAGCTCCACCGGAAGGACTGCTGTGTTCACCTTTTTTTTTTTAAACTGTCTTTCCATCGCTGCAAGCTAAAATATTTTAAATTCTGAAACAGTTCTCAAAACTTTAATTGTTTTTGCTGTGAGCCTGTAGTATTTTAATACTATATGTACTTCCACAGAGACTTACAGAGAATTGTAGATGAGAATATATAGTATATAATATATAATACTACATATAACATAACAGTGTCCAAAGAATAACCATCATTTGTATAAAAAATTGTCGGGGAAAATTTTTATTTTTTTTTTTTGGTTTTACGAGACAGGGATTCTCTGTATTGTTTTGGAGGCTGTCAGACCAGCCCGGCCTCGAACTCACAGAGATCCGACTGCCTCTGCCTCCCAAGTGCTGGGATTAAAGGCTTGCGCCACCACCGCCTGGAGAAAATTTTTAAAAGATAGCTGTTGCTAACTGAATGCTTCATCCCATCACATTAAAAACAAATTTAAGCAAAGGGTTGTTAAAATTCTAAAACTTTTTTTTAAGATTTATTTGTTTGTTATGTACATGCTGTTCTGTCGGCATGGCTGCCTGTACACCAGAATAGGGCATCAGATCTCATTACAAAGGTTGTGGGCCACCATATGGTTGCTGGGAATTTAACTCAGGACCTTTGGAAGAGCAGTCAATGTTCTTGACCTCTGAGCCATCTCTATAGCCCAGTTTTTTTTTTTGTTTGTTCTTCCCTCCCTCCCCCCTCCATCTCCCTAGACAGGATTTCTTCCCTGTGTAACTCTGGCTGACCTGGAACTTGCTCTGTGGACCAGGCTGGCCTTGAACTCACAAAATCCATCTGCCTCTGCCTCCTGAGTGTAGTTATTAAAGGCGTGCGCCACCACCATTACCCCGGAATTCACTAAAACTTTTCTTTACTAGTGGCCTCTCCTATTTTGGGAAATGTTTCTTTTTAGGAACCATTTCAGGTTCCAGCTCCTTGAAGGCTTTTCCATTTGTTAAGAGTTGACGTGCCTTTTCTCTGCTTCTTTGTTAGGTACTTCTGTAGCCATATGTGCTATTGTGTTGTTTCATATAGTACACAAGCTCCCGTTGTTTGTTTGGGGGACATGTTTGTATACACTGTCAGGGTTTGTCAAAAGGCCTGTTCAGAGTTGTGACTGTCAGGATGAGCATGAAGAACAGAATCAACAGAGGATGGTGTGGACACCCCAGTCCTTTACCTGCTTCATCTGATAAGAGTGAAGGTTAAAGGTCTGTTTCTTCCCTATAGGCCTTTGTTACTGAGTGAAGATGAGGAGGATACAAAGAGAGTTGTCCGAAGTGCTAAGGACAAGAGGTGAGGCCACTGGAGGCTGGGTGATGAGGGAGTGATGATGTTACTTTCACCATGATAAACACAACCAACCTGGTATTGAATTCCCCCATCCCCACCCCCAGGTTTGAGGAGCTGACCAACCTTATACGAACCATCCGTAATGCCATGAAGATTCGAGATGTCACCAAGTGTCTGGAAGAGTTTGAGCTCCTGGGAAAAGCATATGGGAAAGCCAAGAGTATTGTGGATAAGGAGGGTGTCCCCCGATTCTATATCCGCATACTGGCTGACCTAGAGGATTATCTTAATGAGGTGTGGCTCCGTGAGATACAGAAGGGGATGTGGGCCCCACTGTGATCCTTTCCTGTGGCCTGTGCTCTCCTTGGGGCTCTTTGCCTTATTACCTACGGTGTTCCCTAAAAAATGAGATAAAGAACACAAGGAGGAAAACTTGAAGAGCTTGATTATATTTATGGGGTGTTTTGTTTTTCCTAGTCAGGGTTTCTCTGTGTACCCCGGCTGTCCTAGAACTCACTGTGTAGACCAGGCTAGCCTTGCATTCAGAGATCCCCCTGCCTCTGAGTGCTAGAATTGAAGAGGTGTACCACCACTGCCCAGTTTGTATTTTATGTTTTTAATCACCTTTTACTTATGGTTTTGTATTTGTAGTAATGATATATAAAGGATCTTCAAAAAGTAAGTTAGTGAGGGTTTAGAGATACAGGTCAGTTGTAGGCCGCTTGCCTTGGCTCAATCCTCAGCACTGCAAATAAAAAAGTTACAGTTTCGGTTGATAGGTAGTCAGATGGTGCCTAGATAGTGAGACCCCAAAAGGTGATTATAAAGCTTTAGTTTGTAAAGTGCCATTTAGTCTTGGATCACTAGTCTTCCTTTTTTACCGCATTAGCTGTGGGAAGATAAAGAAGGCAAAAAGAAGATGAACAAGAACAATGCCAAGGCTCTGAGTACCTTGCGCCAGAAGATCCGAAAATACAACCGAGATTTTGAGTCACATATCACAAACTACAAGCAGGTGAGTCAACCAGAGGCTAACTTCTCAAACTAGGAAAATGAGCCTATGACAAAATCCAAAGAGTACTAGTACATGACTAGAGAAAGAACCATAACAAACGGTCTGTGTTTGAGAAGGAGGAATTTAGCAGAC